CACTTAAGTCTTAGTTCAGACTAATTCCTTTTGATACTTTTGCTACAGGTGACTTGTAGTTCAGAAAGGAGATGGGAGGGCTGGTAAGTCCTGTACATCTGACCTTCTGGATCCCCTGGTATATAAAAAAAATTGTCCACACTCTATTAAAACAGTGGTTCTTCTAAAACATTAGTACCTCCAGAGGAGTAAAATGAAAGCAGCCTGTAGCTTCAATAATCTTAATGTTGGTAGTTACCTTCCTATGCTCATGCTTTCTATATTACAGATGTGAAAACTATGTGGGTAGTTGTGGTAGGTGGAAAAAGAAGAAAAATTAAAAATTAAGTTGCACCTCGTGACTAACCCAAGTGTATTTTAACTGATGAGTAATCTTGTTAGTATGAGGAATTTAGTTATTTCAGATTTTCTTAATCCCAGTAGCACCTATAGTCGGTTGTAAACAGCGGTCACTGCAGCATGGCATCACGATGGGTTGTTTCTTCTTCTTTATGTCCTTCAGCTTGCTCAGAGAAAAATTCAGGAAATACTGGCTCAGGTAAGAAGGCAGCAGCAACAGCAAAAAACATTGCAAAGCGGACAGCCTCAGCCAAGACGAAAATAAAGGTTTAGGAAATGGCCCATCAGAGACAGATGCCAGACCAAAGACAGACTGTGCGACAGAGAGACGGGTGGTGAGCACCTGTTGAAGTTATATGCAGAAGATCCACCAAGCCAATCACCTGTTCGAGGACCAGGCAACCGTTGAACGCTGTCTCTGAGAATGTATTCTTTAGGCTCTCTCAAACTTTTGAAACCCAGCTTTAAAATAAGGACCCCTTCACTTCCCTTTTGTTCTATTCTCACAATTTAACATAAACTCGTTAGTCTTTTTTATTGTTCTTATTATTCCCCAACAATTTTAGAACTTGGTTTAATGAAGCTTTCTCTTCTGAGTTCACTGGTTAAAAAAAAAAAAAAGAAAAGATAAAAAACCAACAAAAAAGAAAAGGCATTGCTCTCATAGGTCCAGTTGTAAAAGAAGAAACACATTTGGAGGGTGGGATTGGGGGTGGGCTAGGGTTAGAGCAAGGGTATTGACAAGAGTTTAAGTGTTAGTCCCAATGTTGAAACAAGTGGCATTTTTTAAAAAGAATTTGGTTGCATTTTTACATAACACTGCCATGAATAACCTAAGGGAAGTGTTGAATGGTGTTGGCCAGGGCATAAAAAGATAAATATGCATTTTACTAAACTACCTCAGGCATTTAGTACCTCAATGAGAAATTGTTCCTTTTTTGCTTTTTTTTTTTTGGTATTTTGTATACTTTATAAAGCTAATAGTTCTTGAGCATTTTATTTTTTTAAAAAAAAATTAAAATTTGATCAGCCACCAGCCAGGAGTACTACAGACTTATCGGGGAAAAATATAGTAGAGCACTTCTAGCTGCTGGCTGATGGGAGTAAGGTGGGTAAAAAAAACATAGCCTCAGATTTTCTGAGGGCTTCAACACCATCATTTGTTTAAAAAAAAAAATTCAGTGAATGTTCAAAAGATAGTGAATGATGCCAACATTCTGATAGCAGCAATGCCGTTTAGTTTTCTTTTAAGATGGGATGAAAAAGTTTGTGACGGTACTTTTTTGGGAACAGGACAAGGAAGTGATGGCAAGAGGCTGGGGTTGGGGGAAAAATTTAGAAGGCTGCAAGAGGCTGAATTTTTTTTTGTGCTACTTGATTGAATGCATGAACCCTTTGTGCCTTTGACCATCACTACCTAATAATGCTACATTTAACCATTTGCAGCCCATTTGGACTTTGCCATTTTGTTCAAAGAGCAAGCTTCATCTTCAGTTTGATAGAACACTTGATCTGCTAGAGCGTATTTGAGGCCAGGAGGGTCTCTGCTGTCTGCAGATCACATCATACTGCTTTCAGTTACCACGATGGGGGAAGGTCAAACAGTGTTTGATCACATTGAAAGATAATGAAAGGCTAAGTTTACATATCCAGCCGCTGTTATGGGCCACACTAAGCCACTTTGAAGGTTTTAAAAACTATTACAAGAAAAACAAACAAACAAACAACCTCTCTAGCCTGGCTTATAATAGATGCAGCAGGATTTATGCACGTTCTGCAACCAACCATTAGAGAAGGAAAAAAAAAATGTCAAAAGGCAGGGATAACAGGAAAGTTACCAAATTCTTTAATTTCCGAATGTAATTTGAATGATGATTGTGGTAATAGTGACACATTCAAGTTTCTACAATAAACTTCAGTCTACCTCAGTTTAAGAAAAAAAAAAAAAAATGTGGCAACACATGGTGCATAAAGACTGCTGTGTGTGTGTGTGTGCGCGTGCGCGCCTGTGTGTGTGGTCGACAGAGCCATGCTATTACCTCTGAACCTTTTTTTGTGATGTTTTTTGTGCATGAGATGATCAGAATCACCATGCTGCACTGATTTGAGGGGCACAACGAGCAAAAACATTTGTTTCATCATTTTGTTATCTACCTCTTAGGTTCATGTTGAAATAGAGGCATTACTACATAGACTAGATAATTTTCCCAAAGATCATTGTTGTACAGATTAGATAATTTTGAAAATGGTCTGAAGTGTTTTTCCTGCATCTCTTCTTTACTAATTGGTTTAAAAACCACAAACTTATGTTGTAGTTTTAGCAAAGAAAAATGAGTTTCTTTTCCTTTTTTTGACAGTGACCTTCATCTAGCCTTTAGGATAATTTTTTTTCTTACAATGAATTTAAAATTACTGAAGTATGAAAAGTCATAGCATTTTAATTTTTGTTGAGGCTTAAGTCAGTCTGATGTTCCTTTCTTAACATTTGAGAAGGATTTGACTTCATTATTTTCCATAAAAATTACTTTGCGAATAGGCGCTGCATTTACATCTGCTGATTTAAATACTGTCATCTCTTAAATTTCTAGACTTAGTATGGTAAATCATGTTTTTCTTTTCAATTGAGACTTGGTAATTTGGAGTATTTGGGAATAGCTAGAAAGTAAATACTGTAAATGATTTCAATATCCACAAAGTATGGATCATTTTTCATCTGTAATGTGCCCCCCAATGCAGCTCCACTTGCCAGATGCCTCTGAATGGAATAAAGAGTTTAACTCCTATCATCAGATAAAGTTGTGTGGTGTTTTTTTAAATTAATGAGGCATAGGGACAGACTGTATTTGTGGTACTTTGATCAAGTTGGTTTTCTGTCCATAATAATAACTGGATAAGGGTGTTCCATAGCTGGTATTCCATGCTGCCAGGGCATCCAGCAGCCAGGTTACAATGTTTGCACTTCCCGAGACAAGCAGTGACTTTTGTGGCTTATAATTAATTTTCTCCCTCTTCTATAACAATGTCATACTGTCTGTAGTAAAACCTATAGTTTCAGTCTTGTGCAGATCACTTAGGTGGATTTGCTGTGGAAGGGAAGTGTACTCAACAGTCCTGACCCAGGGCAAACATGAAGGAATCTCTTAACAGGTTTGAAGTGAGATCTGAATTGCAGTTTTTGGGGTGGGTTTTGGTTTTGGTTTTTTTTTTGCTGCTTTTTACCCAATCTCTACTTGGGCGCTCTCAGCGTGACGGAGCTGTGTACTGAACATGGCCTAGCAGCTTGGATAGGCAGAACCAGTCATGCCAACAAGCAAATGTGATGCAAACTTGTATCTCTCTCCTACGACCACCATCCAAGCACGTGCCGCTTGCCAGTGAGGAGGTATCACGTCTCCATTTAGATCCTTGTTAAGGTTATTTGGAATAGAAACGAGACTAGATGTTTAACTGAATGCTTTGGAGTGAGAGGGAGGGATTGGGGAATGAAGGAGCATCATGAGTAGTAGAATTTTGTATCTTGTAAAGAGTGGAAAACTAAACTTGTTTTCCAAACTCTTGCACCCTCCCACTTGTCTTCACACCTCATTTACTGGGACCAGCCAGCAGAAAAGAGGGAATTGAGGAAATGATACCTGTAGCAGACATTGCATATAGGGTATTGCATTTCACAGGGAACTCTGTTAAGCTCATTTTTCACACCAATATTGAGCCATCTTCTCAGAACTGGCATACCCGCCATTTGAGTCAACATAAGAAGTTAAGCCTTCCTCTGTATCGCTGGTGCATTTGCGACAGCTAAACCCCTGACCGTTTTAAGCATTTGCCTAATCATGATGCTTTTTATTTGCTTCTAACCTTCCAAAGCTTTTATTCCTAAGCCGCAATTTCAAAGGCATGCGCTCTTTGTATTAGTTTCCATTAAATGAAGCATGTATGCTGCGCAGGACAGCATGGTCTCAACATGGTACTAGGGCACAGGATTTTTAAATGCAGATGAAAAATTGTGGAGTAAGCACTCAAGCTGGGCTGTAACAGAGATGTTAGCTCAACTGATGGATGCAAATGCTGCTTGATAACGAAGCTACTCAAATGCCGTGCAGGAAATTGGTGAAATGATGACAAAAGTTCCACCTTGATAATTTTCTCCTGTTCATCCCATCATTAAGGGATCCCACACAGAGGCAAACCTGCACCTACCTCTGTACAGGACTGAATGGTGAATCTGTAGGCTTATGGGACAAGCTGCTCAGTATTTCTATTTTACACAAAAATCACCTGATCCACAGAACTGAAACCATTCCCAAATTTTTCCTTCCAAAAGGGCTTTAATGTTGCACAGTACTGATCAGCCAGGCTGTCTCCGTTAATTCCTAGGCCCCAGCTTTCCAGAGGGTTGGGCCAAAGGTTCTTGGAGTTGGGCAGGTAACCTGCCTGGGGCATTGCAGTAGCTCGGCACAGGTGATGACTGCTGCTGTTAAATGGGGGCTGAGGAAGTTTTCCTGAGCTAGCAGTTTTGATTAATAGCAACCAGTGGATCTTCCATATAATTCCTTTTCACAATGTGTTTTGGCAGTAAATTCAGTTATACTTTATTTTACTGGTTTTTGTCTCCTCAGTTAATTTGTTTTTGGGAGGGGTGGAAGGCCTTGTCTTATGGGCTATTACCCCTTTCCAGCAGTAAGAGTCCTAGTGTGTTCACACAGAAGCTGTTCCCTCTCTCTGTGTTCTTTTCTGGGCACTCCTTTTGTTACTGTGCTCTTTGAGACAGGATACTGTGTATGGTTCTGGCTACTAAATGTGGCTTCACATAATGGCGTAATGTTTGCTTGAACCTGCCTCTATTGATCCAGGATTACTTCTCTGCAGCAGCAGCAAAAGGCAAATGGTTTCAGGGAATGATCCAAAGTTACTCCTACGTATCCCTCCTAAGAGGAAATGTCTGATTTAGAACTCATCTCTCTGTAAGACAGCCAAGGTTATCTCTCCCAGCCCCGCCCCCCCCCGGATTACTTATTGACAAGTATCATGAAGCATTTTGAAAATCTTTGCAGTCAGACTTACCACCATTACCTTTATTTTGTGGGCTAAAATGATTTCTCTGCATAGTTTAACTACATTTAATAAATGCTCCTTGCTTAATTTGCAGAACTACCTGCTGCCTTGTATCAAAGAGGAGGTGAACTCAGAGGCACTTACTCCTAAAAGAACAGAGGCTAGACGCAGCAAGAAAACATGACCAGTCTGAAATGAGGGAGAAGGTTGGTGGGTTTTTTTAATAAAAACAAAACAAACCCAAACCACACACCTCCCCCTGTACAACACAACCACAGGCAAAAAAAAAAACCCAAGGTCACTTTCTCTGAGCATTACAAACAGCAGCTGCTGCACAGGGAAGAGATGCAGGCACAGTTGAAGTAGGTTGTGGGATGATGAGGGGGGAAAAGGTGGTTACCCTCAGGATCTACTGGTCCTGCTTCCTGATGCATGGCAGAGCAAGCTCCTCTGGAAGGAATCGATCCTAGTCTAATGATGAAAGCCCCATCCTGTAGTGGACAAAAGCATCTTGCTTCACATAGACAAGTTTTATTATCATCTTGAAGTTCTTCTAACTGGTTATTAGCCCATGCAGCAGTCGGATGAAGAACACTCTGCCCAGTGACTTCTGAAAGTGCTGAACAGTCCATTAGCAGCAAGTAATGCTCAGTGACTGAGGGCTTCCTTTAGAACTACTTTCACCTACTTCAAAGGAGCTGAAGGTTTACATTGCCATAGCATGTTGCCTCAGTGTCCTTTTCCAGAAACTAGGTGAGATGAAAACCAGGAGAGGGGCACTCTTAAATGAGCTGAAGGTTTTAACATGAAGACAAGGAATGGAAGCTCTTCTGGTTTTGGGGTTGTTTTGGGGTTTTTTTTTTTTTTTTACTAATAAAAACCAGATTGGCCTTGGCTGAAAACCAGACTTACTGTTCTGTTAACTCAAGACTCATTTATTTGTCACTGCGGCTCTTGGCTTTTCTGTGTTCAGTAACACCACTGTTTTCTCTCCTCCCTAACTCAGAGCATGACTTGCTTCATCGTGACCAGAAGCAAATGGCTTAATACAAGAAGCCTCATCTAAACTGTACTATTTCAGGTAGTTTTTTCTTTGTAGCACCCAAGTTGTTTTTGCACTGCCACTATAGGCAGGTCTTTCAAAGATACTAGAAAACAACTACTGCAGAGACTGAGGGTGAGTTTCAGGGTAAATACCTTAAGCAGCTGTCTTTGCCCCACTCTTCTCACTGCAAACTGCTGAGGCAGGGGCTCCCCCAGGAAGCTCCCGTATGACAGGATTCCTTCTTTGGCATTTTGGGGTTGGACTCTATCTTAAGGTCTTTTCCAACCTAAATTATTCTTATGATTCTATCATTCTGATCATTTTTGCAGCTTGTTCAGAACTTTACTGAGACATGTCCAATAAATACATTGTTTACATTGATCATCTGTAGTGGCTGTTAAGTCAGTACTCCAGACTCTCTGCCCCAGATCTGTGAAGGCATACTCATTTCTCTTTCCACTCAGCAGCTGTGTTAAGTTCTCATCCCAAGATGGTCACTGCTGTTAGGAGTCAGTCCAAATATAAAGTCTTCTGGCAGTGACTGTGGAGTTATCTGTGCTAACTGGTCATCGTAGGAACCGAGAGTCCATAGCTTCTCCAATTCATAGACCTCTCGTGTCTCTGGCAGCATGAAATGCATCACTATGCTACCTGCATAGAACAGAAATTCACAATAAATTAATGTGAACTGCAAGGCATGACTACACTTCCAGCTGCACAAAGAGTTCAAGTTCCACCCCTGTTCTGGCTAGATAGAACAGGTCAGCTGGTGGACACTGCTGCTTAAGTTGTTGATTCCAGTTCTTGAAGAATGTGAGGAATTGGTCAGTCCTTCAAAAAGACTCCAAGACTACACAGCCAGGAGAATGAGAGGGACAATACTCTGGTTTAAATTAAACCACTATCACAAGACTCAAGACCAAAGAAGTAAGCTGAAAGACATTTTACTTGAAAGAGTCCCCTCCCTAAGTTTACAGATGGACTTTCAGCTTTCCTAGATTACCAACAACATCCAGCTATAGCCAAGTAATTTTCCTGAGGTGTGTTGCTCACACTTCTTGGGTGGTGTTTTTTTTTTAATAATGAAACAGGTCCAAACTTTGATGTAATAAGGTTTTTTTGTTTCTTACAAGTTTTCATTAATTCTGTGCCAATAATAGCAGAGAATGTTAATTCCAGTGTATTGCTAATGCAATTTTTTCCTAGTTATGCCCTTAAATTTCAATCTGTTTTCAGTTATAACTATTAAATCATTGACAGTAAAGTAACCAAGACTTAACATCACTGGCTGCAGTGCTCCTCACCCACCCATGCTCGCTTTTCAGCCAAAACACAGAGGGTGAGATTCTAGAGCTAGCAGTGAAGGAGAAATGCTTTCTGAATGCAAAGTCCTTTATGTTTGTGCAGAGAGTTTCACACTTGCAGAATAAAGAATTAAACTCAACTTCTTAAGACTGAGGTTTTACCCCGTCACAGTATGATCTGGACAGTGGAAAAGTCTGTACAAAAGTTCACTCTAGGGCAGCATGCAAAGAGCCCCCACTCCTCCAGACAGGGATTGTATAAGCCTGAGAAAATTGACTGAAGTAGCTTTTCTCTTTCCACTACTGTTATTTTTGATTTATTAAGACGTGTTTTAGCCATTCAAGAATAGCTACTGCTTTCTTCTCAGTGCCAATGATCTTTAGTGAGAATTTAGTATCTCGACGAGGTCAAGCAACAACTGGAATTCCAAAACAGCAGAGTACTGTGAACACTCCACAGCAACCATGGGTCACAGTGAGATGCTTCCTTCAGCAAAGGGCTCATGCAGACCTTCTTATTTGTCAGATTCACAAATATTTACCAAAA